GCATACGTAACACATGTCCTAACCATCTCAGTCTTTGTAGCTTCACGACTTCAAATGCCAGTGATTCCCAAACCAGCATGAAACAGAAGCTGTTCAGTACTCCCTGGCTGGTTTTCAATGGCTTTCTAACTGGTATCAATCCTTGATCAACTCGTAAAAACAAATTTAATTCTTACAAACCAACTATAGAAAATTAAATCTGATGCTCACTAGTGACTTGCTACAGGACAGAGTTTCCCGGAGTGAGTTCTAGTGAGAAGTCGTGGCCACAGAGGTCCATCCAACCAGTCAAGTGTGAGGAGGGATGTCCGACCAACGACATTGGTTGGTGCCAGTCGTGCTCAGTCACGAATTGGTAGAAGTTAGAATTCATGGACTGGCCAGTAAATCGGGTCCCAGTGGCTGCCTAATGGTCTACGAGCTCTCTGGCCTTGTAACCGGAAGGTCCTGGGTTCGAACTCCACTGGGTGTATACTGCCAGTGTTCATTTATTTTTATTCCTTTTGAATATAAGTCGTCTTATCACAGAGAAAAGAAGTGCAAGCGTATATCATTTGGATGGAAACGTGCGCGTCCTTTCAAAAAGTGTTAGAGAACATTAGCCAGCATGGCTGCAAAGAGGAGGCACCGGTTCAATTAAAAGTCCCCATATTAAACATCTGATCAACACCTCCCGCAACATCTCAACAGACTCATCATTCAAAGTCATTTACAAAGCCAACAGAAACCTACTAAAGGTAGTATGTTTCCGACTTCTTTGCAATACTGCAGAAGCCCTTACAATATGCATCGAAAAGCCGGAGCTGTGTGTTCAGAAGAAATTAGTCCAACTTCGACAACTACCTTGAACCTAGTTTCAGTATGCTTCCTTAGACTCCGGTTTTTTGTTGGTCGATTTGTTTTCTCGTTCACTGTGTGTGTGTGTGTGTGTGTGAGTTTTCTGTCTTTTAATAGACAGGAGACTAGTAGTTCAGCGAAGAATCTCTTTTCGGCGGCGAATTCACTTTCATAGCTGTACAATCGCAAATATATATATATATATATATATATATATATGGTTGTTTTTTATATGTGTGTGTACATTAAATTTGCCAAACGAAAATACAATTAGTAAGTTCAGATGAATTCCATGTGGATATAAATGTGTAGTAACAAAGTTGATGTGTTGTCACGAACAATTGTCAAAGAAGAGTTGTGTAGTAACGTGAATATTTTGATGAGAGTGTTGTGCTCAGGGTGAACATGGAAACAAAATTAACATACGGAATTACACAAGAGTTTTAAGTAGTTAGAAAAATAAGCATACAAGTCAAAGTTAAGTCAAATCAACAGAGTTGTTACCATGAAAGTGGAAGTGGTTGAATAATTTTCTTTTGTATGCACAGTTCTGGTTCATCCAACTGAATGTCAAGAGCTTCTGCAATGCAAAGGAAAAGTATTGTCTTTGATAGGTTGTTCTTCACTTTGTAGATTACTATAAAGGAGGCGTTTGTTGAGATGGAATGACAGGTGGTGACGAGATGTTCGATTATTGCGCACCTTCTCTTTTTGTCTTCATTCAATTCATCCCTTTTTTAGTTATAAGAACAGTTATTTTAAGTTTGTTTCGATGCTCTTGCTGATCACACTTGTAATTCGTTTAAAATAACTATTCTACAGTTATATTCTAATCTTGTGTAATTTTTGTTTCTAAGCCTCTCCTCGTAAACCAGATCTAGTTGAAAATAATTGTCACCGTTTTTTTATTCGCCATCGTAATTATGTGGAATCAAGTAAAAATTGTATCTATACAAAATTATGTGTATAAATGCGAGTGTACAGCTGCTTTTGAAAATGAAATCACCGAAAAAGCAGATATCTTTGCTGAACTTTGTGTTCTCTTCTTTCCAATGAAACGTGCTAGTCACTACTATAGCTATTGGTCTATCAGGGATTCTCAGCATCGTGAAGGCAAATGCAGTCTAAATGAAATGATACCCGTAACGACAGAAGACAAGGGTCAGGAAACAAACAGATCGTTTATTGAGGAAATTAACAGATATTTATAGATTTTTATGTACATCATTATTAGCGTTATGGTTAGCAGAGAAACAGAATCTGATGGGTCGTTTTCTCGTTGGAAGTTATCCTGTCATCTCTTTGTGGCGGTTTCTTTGAAGGTCAGACCATATATCTACGAATCATATCTGCCCACACAAAGTCTTTGTTCTTGTTTTTCTCATGAACAAGATTTAGGAAGTAAATATTGACGTAAATTGCTGCCTACCAATTTTGGCTAGCAGACAGCTCTCACCACAATACTACGTTTTCTCACACGAAACTGAAGATGAGATGGCCAGTTGGAAAGGAAAAGCAAATAAGGCGATCTGGCGACTAACTAACCAAGAACCAAATGTTCAACAAATTGAGATGGATTCAACATACTCTGAGAAGGTTGTTGAGTGACATCACATGTCAACCAGGCCCTTGAGTGGAACCCGCATGGACAGTATGCGACCAACTGGGCGTCCTAGAATGACTTGGAGGAGACTGAGTGAGGAAGAAATGTGAAAGTATATGGGTAACCGTTTATCTGTCTGTAAAAACTGTAGACAAAAGGGTTTTAGAGACTTAGGGGTGTTGGCGTTCACGGATAGTGTATTAACGCAAGATTTAATACCCACAACTCCTTTAGTATTCGTTCCGCATAGACCGAAGACAAAGCAACACATCAGAGTGATAGTCCAAATTAAGAAGTATATTTCGGGACCAAAATCATAGTGAGAGATTGATTGCTTAACTAGCTAGAAATCTTGCAGGAAAAACTGACAGCGTTCCAGATAACGTGGATGCTTGACTGTGAGCCTTCAGCTAAATAAGTCGACTTAAACAGTGAAGGTCTGCATCGAATGTTCAGTGATGAATGTTGTGGCGAATAATTTTGCGGAATTATCTACCGCCACAAGATGGAAATGAGAGGTGTTGCTGAAATCCAATGTTCCACCCAGAATACAAGGGAATAATAATAATAAGATCTTGAAGGGTATTTGCTCACTTACTTTTCTCAAAAGGATCCATTTTTCTCTTTGAACTTGTATCACTGATATTCATCTGTTAGCAAGCAACCAAGTTAGCATTATTATTTTCTTCAGTTCCTGGTGGAACACAAAGGGTCGACCAACACATTGTCATTTTACGCTGTTCTTCAGAGTTTTATTTTAGCCGACTTCACGATTATCTATAGGCATTCATTTCCTCTTATGTGGTCGTCTTTATTTCACCGTCAGACATCCCACCAGCGATTAAGCAGTAGTTTAAAATTATCGTGTGTGATTTTTACAAGAATCATGTCGGTTCGCGTCAAAATACACCCGTTTATTAACTATTTGCATTGAAGGCAGAGTGGTAGAATGCTCGTTAACCCCGCCTCATATGGTTTGGGGTTCGATCCCCAGGCACCGACGCACTCTTTTATCTTGCCAAGCTAGTAATAAGACTGGTAAAGAGGGGAGGTTGGGCATAAGGCTAGCAATCCCGCCCCCCATCCTGTAAAAATAAACACCACTGTTATCAAAATTTCAAATCTATAGCTCTGAAGCCCTATGTTCCACTGGGAACGTAAGGGAATAAAGTAATTAAAATAAATGCACTTAGCATGAAAATGTAAATAAGATCCGGATTTTCAACTCCAATGTGAAGTCAGTCAGTGCTACTTACTATACGGATCAGAGACTTGGCGCCACTCCTCGGCACAAAGGGCACTTCGAACAAACTACATACGCTCATCAACAGCTCTCCTCGCTCAATACTACTCAAGATTAGATGGCCGGCCAGGAAATATCAGCAAACATGGAGGGATCTCTGGCAATGAACGAACCAACCCAACAGGAAAAAATTGTGCAACAAATGTGCAGAAAGAAATGGTGGTTGAATTCGATTGGTTATACTCTGAGAAAACAAACCATCAAGTGATTGACATCATACGCCACGCCATCGCTCGAGTGGAACCCGTCCGAATGGGAAGCGGTGAGTTACTTGGTCATCAGTTTGGGGGTGGGGTGACATGGAGGAGGAGATGTGGAGAGAAGATGGAACATGGGGTCAGACGTGGAGCTAGGTGAAAACGTTGGAGGAGAACCAAACTCAATGGAGACGTTTGCCTGAAGCCCTATGTTTCTCTAGGAACTAAAGAAAACAATAATAGCAATATAATAATAATTATTATATTATTATTGTATCCTTTAGTTCCTAGAGGAACGTAGGGCTTCAGGAAAACGTCTCCATTGCCTTCTGTTTTCTGCCAACTTTTTCATCCCGCTCCAGGTCTGTCCACATGCTTTCATCTCCTCCCCGCATGACCTCCTCCAAGTCACCCTTGCACTGACGACCAACTCGCCGCCTCCCTTTCGGGTTCCACTCGAGAAATGGCTTGTCTAGTGATGTCGCTTGATGGTTTCCTCAGCGTATGGCCAATCCATCTAACTCCATTTCTTCCTGCCTATTTGTTTCACAATAGGTTCCTGATTGGTTCGCTCCCAGAGATCCCTGTTGCTGATCTTTTCTGGCCGTCTGATCTTGAGTATTGAGCGAAGACACCTCAAATGAAACTTTATCTCCCCTGGATTCCATGACATTCACGTTTAGCCAGTGGATTATTAAAACATGACCTTCAAAAAGTCTAATAAAATATATATTGAATCATTTAATCTTCTTATAATTGAAAGTAATAGGCAAAAAGAAAATAAAAATAAATCACAAAATTAAAACAAAATATCAAAATGAACTTTATCATAACAATGTCGTTATTTTCCTAGTTAAATGTTCAATATTTAATTTTAAATATACAAAGAAAATGTGGGAGTTTCAAATTTTTTGTGAATAAATCGATCTTAGAAAGACATAGAAAAAGAAAATTGTAGAAATTATTTAGATAAATTAAAAATTTGACTAATAAAAATAGTAAATAGGATAAATGATGAAGATCTGCAATATTCCCAATTGAGTACAACTTATCATCATCATCATCTAATTGATTGATTTCTATACAATCCCCAATGAATCATTTGTATTAAATTGTCGTAGTCTTCACCATTCGACGTTGTCAACCATACTCTCCATTGTACACATGAATTTTTAGCTTTCAATTGATTTTCTAAAACATCTAATGTAGATTCATGTAGAATAGTGCTTTGTAAGTTATCTACAAGTTGTGTAAGACTTAAACATGCCTCCTTGCCATATTTATCACCAACACCGACAATCAATAAACTTTGATCCAAACCTAATATATTTAATATCGCGCTTATCTCTAAACTGATCTGATCCCAGTTTATGTCATCAACACCAGATTCACGTATATCCAGTGTATAGATGATGACATGATACTCCCTGATTAAACTGCCTATCTCAGGTATTAAGGTAGGCATAGGTTGAGTTGTTCCATCCCCTTGGTGTTCATTACTCAGCAGATATATCCCAGATAATCGATTTTTGTTAACCAGCGGTTCATCAGCCTGTGAAAAAATACAAGTTAATTTAACTAATGTATTATTAACCATTGAAGTATTGAATTTTGGTGTTTCTATCATAATATTTCTACCAATCAGTTTTGTTTCCCTGCCTAAATATGGATCAGGAATAATAAAATCATCAGGCAACTGATCCCATACAGATGCTTTAATCATATGCTTTATTATGCATTGATTTATGCTGGAAGAATCCATAGCTGGACCAATCATTAGACATTTATAATAGGTGATATTTTCTCCATCAGAAGGTGGACGACAGTCGGCATCCTTCTGACAACTGAAATTCTCATTTGATAATGCATGTAAACGATAGAATAATTTACGCATATAATAACCAGACTGTGGATGCATTTGGTGATGATGTTGTAATTGTCGTCTGTTCAACTGTTGATGATGTGTACCGGTATGCTGAAGAAACAATTTCATCTTGTATATTCCACATAATTTCATGAGTATAAGTAATTCTCTATCAATCCATTTGTATTCAGATAATTTTTCACAACATTTTGGTGTCCATAAGCATAAATCATTGATTAATGTATTCCAATGTTTGCATACAACTGAACAATTCTCTAAATCTTTAATATCAAGTTGGCGATAAATACGAAATAATATTTCCACAGGGATTTGATTCATTAAATTCCCCCCGCCCCCGAACCGTATTTGTTTCAGGTTTTTGCTTTTTAAAAATTTGTTGTAAAATTGAAAAGTAAAGAAGACATTTATTTATCTGTTTAGATTTCTTTTTATTTCTGATCTCTTGTGAAATCGAAACTACCAATGTATATATATATATATATATGTCTATGTGATACGCCATTTTGAATATAAAGTCGTTATTTCATTGGTCCAGAGGTGTCCTTGAAAGGTCATGTGAATATATTGAATTAACCTGAAGTGATAATATTAATGATTGGCGTTTACATTCAAAGCATGAATTTGTTCTTGATTCTGATTTTCTAGGGTATTAGACAAAGTAAAAAGAGAAAACTTTATTGGATTATTGCTTATTTTTTGTCCTTTGGATTGATAGATGTGCATCTATATAAATCTGTCAATATTTTAGAGAGAAGGAGAGACAGTAAATTTAGTGATACAAGTATAAACTATCCTTTAAAATTCATTAGGAAGATTGAAAAGGGCCAAAAGCAAAATCAAAATAATTGTGAGACTAGTAATGATAATACAAATAAGAGGGAGAATATAAGTCATCTACTGTTATATCATATAAAGAGGGGGACATCTGAGACACTCATCACGTAGGATTCTTAATAACAAAGCAGGAATTAGGATGGTGGCATTCAAACCTACAAAGTCACTCAGGTAGGACAAGCTCTGTAGGCTAAAAGACCTGATGGACCAAATTCAACAAAATAATATAATTTACAAAATACTTTGCAATGACTGTGAGTTAAGCCAACTATATAGGTCAAACTAGTAGATTGGGGGTAATCAGATTGTCGGACCATAAGAATTTAGTTAAGGTGAGAATGGTTGATCCCACCCGAGAAGATAAGTAATTTAGGAAAAAGTTCAGCACTGCATTGCACTGCATGCCTTAACACACATCTCATAACTGGCGAATCACAAAGAGTGAATGTATCTGTGCTAGCCATTGAAAACGAAGACTTTGAGGCAGCTATATCACCACTAATTGTCTCCAGTCATCATTGGTTCTTACCATTATCCCAAGGAACCCAACCAGTCAGTCAGAAAGCCAGACAGTCTACACCTCCCTACGTCACTGAATGGCTGGTTGACTGGCTTAAACTAACTGCTATGGATTTGATTAACTGGTGAAGTCATGTTTTGGTTTGCCCACCACGTGCAGACTCTCTCTTTTCCAACCTGATCAAACCGATGTCAGTCAGCTAAGATCGGCTGTCAAGGAAGGCTGAATCAATACAGCTGCTTTACAACCTCGTTGACTGATCTCGCTCCCCCTTACCTCACCTCAATATTAATTACTCACCCTATTATACCTACCACTTAACACGGGAGATAGAACGCAGACAGTTGTAATCAAAGACAGCTAGCCAGGCTTTTCATGCCTTCCACTCTCAATAGGCCATGTCTCACTCACATTCAGACATAAAACAGGACGCGATGAACAGCGTTAAGTTCCTAAAACAGAAACAACTCTGGAAAACAAACAGTCTGTGTCTGTCTGTGCTTGTGTGTATGTGACAGGCCTCAATCAATTGTCCCCTGAGGCCTCTCCAATTGAGTAACACTAATTCCCACTCTATTTCTTCAAATACCGCAAAGAAAACAAAAATCTTTCTGAATGTAGGATTTCATCATGAGCCGACTTCAGTTAGAGAACCATTGGAAAACCACTCAGGAAGTACTGTACAGCCGTTTGGCCCCAGTTTGGAACTCTTCAGCCTTCGCCTTGTGACTAGAAGATCCTGGATTCGAACCCTGGTGGTGCGTGCGTACTGATGAAGAGTCCCAAACTAGGACTAGGCTGACGAAACAGCTGTCCACTACACCCTGACTGGTTTTCCTTCACTGATCCTCTAACTGACATGTCAGTGCTTATGATGAAATCCCTCCGTCTAATCAAACTAAATCTTTACAAAACCAATCCTTGATGAGAAAAAAATCTTTTCCCCACTATAACTGGCAATTTTTTTGCTTATTCCCTTTGCATGATAACCGAAATAAACATTGATAAATGAATGAATGAATTAATGAATGAATTAATTAAATTGTTTATTTAATTAAAGTCTTATAAGAAGCACATTTTGTATTTTTCGATATTATTATTATTATTATTATTATTATTATACACAGAAGATATAACGCCTCATCTATCATCCTACTTCACATTTAAGTAGTATCCATATTTCACGCATAAATTTCCACCTCATCTCATGCATTTATTAATTAATTTATTATTATTATTATTCATTTAATGACTGTTCATATAAAATTTATTATTTATATGATGACTATAAATATCCGAATAATAATAATAATAGTCTTAATCCTGTTTCGTCTTCGGTCTTTCGTTGTCTTATGATATATATCCCACATATGTGTGTACGTATGTAGATGAGATATGAGTCATTCATCATATATAACCGTGTGCGTCGGTGGCACAGTGGTTAGGACTCTCACCGACCATCCACATGGTCCGGGGTTCGAGCCCACGCTGACACACACCTGATATCTATGGTCGGCCTGCGAGATTTGGGCTACCGATATCCATGCTGAAAATTCCATACTTGTATCAAAATACGGTGTGGAATCAAGCTGTAATCAAAAAAAAACCATGAAGGTACACACAAACACGTATAGAAGAAAGACAAACTCTATATCAGACTAAATCATGAATAGAAGAAAAGACTATTAACAAGCAAAATGAAAGGTATTCATTACACCTAGATTTAAGGAAGAACAAGAGAAGACAGGAAGCAGAACAAGGATAATGAATCCCACTAGTAGTGGATTCAATTTAAGTCGTCAGTTGTTTCGTCAAGTACGTGCATGGTTATTATTATTTATTATTATTTCCTTTAATTCCTAGAGGAACATAGGGATTCAGCCCCACAGGTCTCCATTGCGTTCGGTTCTCTGCTAGAGTTTTCACCTGGCTACACAGGTCTGCCCACACGCTTTCATCTCCTCTTCACATGACCTCCTCTAAGTCACTCTTGCACTGACGACCAACTAGCCGATTTTTCATTCAGTCGGGTTCCACTCGAGCAATGGCTTGTCTAGTGATGTCGCTTGATGGTGGGTTTTCTCAGAGGATAGCCAGTGAATCCATCTCCATTTCTTTCTGCCTATTTGTTGCACAATCTGTTCCTGCTGTGTTGGTTCGCTCCCAGAGATCCCTCATTATTGCTGATCTTTTCTGACCGGCCATCTGATCTTGAGTTGTATTGAGCGAAGGCAGATGTTAATGAAGGTCTGTAGTTTGTTTGAGATGCTCTTTATGACGCGCTGGCCAAGTCTCTGATCCGTATAGCGAGTAGCACTGACTGACTTCTCTTATTTCGATTTTCATGCTGAGTGCTGTTGACCTTCACACAGACTTGAGAGTAATGAAAGCTTATCTTGGTTTCCCGTTGATCCTTGCTTTGATATCCTCGTCAGTTCCGTCCATCTGTAGTTGAAACGATGCTTCCCAGGTACGTAAATGAGATTGTTTCTTTCAGATTTCTCCCATTTACGCTGGCTGACTGTTGTCTGTAGCTGTTATTCCCTAGAGTTCCGCGATTGGTGGAACACAGAGCTTCGATAGCTCACATCTGCATTTCATCCTGGCCTTCGCTACAGTCTTTCTTTAATTGGTTCCTTTTCTTCTCAATCACACGATGTGCTACCCTCTCCCTATATCACCACCTTCGTAACCTTGTCAAATTTATTGTTTATACCATATTCCGATTCCACTTGATGTCAGTACTCTCAACAGTCTCCTCATTGACGTATGTCCGTCCAAAATTCATATCTTTATTTCTTTAAGTGTGCTCATTGGACGTTAAGTTCGTCGCCTTATAAGCATATCCAGTTTAATTACACGGCTTCACAATTTGTCCTACATATTTCTTTTTCTCTCTCTGATCCTTGTTGCTTGTTATCACTTTCTATGGCGAAGTTCAACAATAACGCGTCCCAGGAGTGCGAACGCTCCAATGACCTCGAATGCATGCTAGTCGTTGGCTAACGGCACCTGTCATTATCATAGCTGAAATATCAACGCTACTGACCAGCTAAGCAGAAAATTTCACCCAGACCACATTTTTAAGTACTGTTTTGACAATGTGTTAATAACTCATTAGGGTTAAGATAAGGGTTAAGGTAAGTATTGGGGAGGATGAGGAACGGATGAGGATGTCAAATCGAGAATCGGGAGGGCGAGAAACACATTCATCAACCTGAAACCAATCTGGAATTCTTGTCACTCAGCATCAACTATAAAATTCGGTCGGATTTTCAATACAAACGTCAAGTCAGTCAGTTCTTCTATACGGATGAGAAACTTGGCGGGAGGGTCACAAAGAATATTTCCAACCAACAGGCTATTGCAGACCTTCATCAACAATTGTCTTCGCTCTATACTGAAGGTCAATCAGATGGCAGGGCCGAGCCGGAAAGAATCACCAACTATTGGAAACTATGGGAACAAACAAAACAAGAACCAATCGCTAACCAACAAAAATGCAGGAGAAAGTGGAGATGGATTGGACACTCGCTCGCTGAGGAGGCCGTTGGGTGACACCGCGCGCGCGTCAGGCCACTGCTCGAGTGGAACTAGGCCGAAAGGGAAGCGGCGAGTTGGACGTCAGTGCAAGGGTGACATGGAGGAGATCGTGTGAAGGGGAGTTGAAACGGTGTGGACTAACATGGATGAATTCAGGTGAGAAGTACAGCAGCAGAAGACAGAAGTGGCAAGTGGAGACGTGGAGTTGAAGCCCTATGTTTCACTAGGAACTCAAGGGAACAATAATAATAAAATATCACAATATTCTAACAAGTTACTTATTATGATAATAATAGAAACACTCGTCATATTTCCCATCTGAATGTAATTGATTAATAACACTCATATTATTACTTCTGAATGTACATTATCCCATAATGATTTTATTTCAATATCTAATCGATTCCACACATGTATATAA